GTTAGGGACGTTTTCAGCTATGATATTTTTCAAATAAGGTCTCCACCCCCTTCTCTTTTCTCCTTTTGGGACCCCTATAATTTGAATGTTAGTGTGCTTGATGTTGTCCCAGAGGTCTCAAACTATCCCCCCTTTTTTTTTTTCTTTTTTCTGTTTATCTTGGGTGATTTCCACCACTCTGCCTTCCAGTTCACTGATCCGTTCCCCATTCCTCTGTATCCAGTCTACTGTTGATTCCTTCCGGTGTATTTTTTCAGTTATTGTATTCTTCAGCTCTGTTGGTTGCTTCTTTGTATTTTCTAACTCTCTGTTAAACTCTCACTGTGTTCACCCACATTCTTCTCCCAAGTTTGTTGACCATCTTTATGATCATTACCTTGCACTCTTTCTTCGGTAGATTGCATATCTCCACTTTGCTTAGTTCTTCTGGGGTTTTGTCTTATTCTTTTATTTGGAATTCCTCTGTCTCCTCATTTTGCCTAATTCTCTATGTTTATCTCTGTGTATTAGGAAGGGTCAGTTACATTTTTTCAATCTTGGAGAAGTGGCCTTATGTAAGAGACATCCTCTGGAACCCAGCAGCACCCTCCCCTTTGGTCACCAGAGCTGTATGCTTTTGTCCCATGTGTGGGTTGTGTGGGTCCTTCTGCTGTGGCTGGGCCAGCTACTGTGGGCAGCTGGTAGGTGAGGCTGGCCCAGCCCTGTTGGCTGCCTGGCCCTGCCTTGTCCAGTGGCTGCCAGCCTGCTGATAAGAGGGGCTGGGTCCTGGGGCAGCTGGTTGTGGGCCCCAGAGGGCTAGAGATCTAGAATATTCTGTAAGGGGAAAACAGGGGAATTTAGCTTCACCCAGTAGCAGAAACAATAATAGAATCTCTTCTTTTTGACAGGCTGTCTTTGGCTAGATTGCTCTTTAGTTCCCAGCATGACACTTTTATGCAGACAGGCTCTGTTGACTGTATGAGGAAAACGCTAAAATATCTCTCTTCATGGAACACAAGTGGACTTTACATAGCTAGGCCTCCTTTAAGATCGAAACGCTGGGGCTTCCCTGGTGGCGCAGTGGTTGAGAGTCCGCCTGCTGATGCAGGGGACGTGGGTTCGTGCCCCGGTCCGGGAAGATCCCACATGCCGCGGAGCGGCTGGGCCCGTGAGCCATGGCCACTGAGCCTGTGCGTCCGGAGCCTGTGCTCCGCAACGGGAGAGGCCACAGCAGTGAGAGGCCCGCGTACCACAAAAAAAAAACAAAAAAAAAGATTGAAACTCTGTCTTTGGAAAAGTATATCACTGGGGAGTTGTTGTACATAAAGAAAAATAAGCCATTTCATGTATTTTATATGAAAGTAAAAATAGATACTTCATGTAAATACATGAAACCCAGCACCTTACTCTGTAAGCAAACAATATATGAGCAGCTTTTGTTTAAGTAAAAACGTAAATTAAATATTTTCCGCACTTAGAAGATACTAAATATTTGTTGCCTGATTGAATCCAGCTCGTGTCGCCTGTAGCAACCGGTTCTGCCTTTCTAAGCTTCACGTTCCTCCTCTGTAAAATCTTTTCTCCTTTGCATTTTTATTAATGCATTCCTTCAGCACATATTTACTAACCATCTCATATGTGCACATTTCTGTGCCAAGCACTTACCTAATCCTTATAATAACTGTGTGGGTGAGGAAATGGGTTAGGAGAGGTGAACCTTGTCCACGGCAGCTTAGCATCTGTGAGAGGAAACAGAGATGTTCTACTACTTAAGGAAGGGGGAGGGGCAGATTGCAACAGGTGGCATTTTGTTTATTGATTGGCTGCAAGTTTTAAGTGAAGTCCAGCAGTGTTGGGGCACAGTCCATCGCGGACCAAGGCAGGACCAGCTTGGCAGCTGATATGCTCAATTTTTCAAATGTTTAAACCCTGTGACTCAGTTACTCAATTCTTAGAAATCTGTCCCCAGGAACTAATCAGGAATTTCGTCAAAGATTTGTATACAAAGATGTTTACCCACAGCCTATTTATATAGCTGAAATTTTGAAAACGGCCCAGATGTTCAACAAACAGCAGGATAACTGTTTATTCTACTTGACACGTACATGGCAGTGACTCAGTACTTTGCCAGTATTAACTCGTTCAGTCCTGACAAGGGTTGGGGTGGTGCATGGCAGGTGCTGTTATCGCCCCATCTTAGAGATGAAGATAGTTGAGGCCTGGGTCACACAGCTGGCAAGGGCGGGAGGCTGACCTGAACCCTGATGGCTACTGCCCGAGCCCAGGCTGTTTCCACCTTCCTCTGTGTGTGACAGCATTCATGCTCTGGAATATTATACAGTATTCTGACTTTTTTACCAATTTCCACTATATAATATTATATGAAGGTTATGAAATTATATGACATGGTTTCACTTTTGAAAACACACATTTCAAAGAAAGGAGAGACGAAGCTTGTTTATCCATCAGCATCCCCGACAGGTGCTTGCGGTTGGTGTCCTCAGCGTTGGGCCCTCCTCAGGTGTAGAAAGTACGACGAATCAGATGTCAAGATGTTCTTTGTCTAACAAGGAAGTTGTGACTGCCTGATCTCTGCCAAATAGAGGGTCTGTAAGATACAGCAGACTGGCAGAGACTAAGAGATGAGAGGTCAGCCAGTGTGCCTGGCGGGGGCGGGGGCAGGGGGCAGGGGGCAGGAGTCGGTGTGGCTGCCTGGGGACTCCGTGAAATCCATGCCATCGTGGGGCAGGCTGGGGCCACCTCACAGCATTGCTTTCACGAGGAGAAAACCTACCAAGCTCCACACCTTGACAGCATGTGGCCTACTTTGTTAATCTTATGTTAGTGAAATTCATTTACTCTTACTTATATTAAGTCAAGATTTCTCTGTTTGGTTTCTGTATTCTGGATGCAGTGCCGGGGGAAAACTTGTCACTGGACCATTTGCTGCTTTGGCAAGACAGCCAAGTACATATAAGCCTTAACGTGCCAGGAAGCAGGCATTGGTGCCTCCTCCTGGGGTGGGGATTTTCTAGGTGAAGAAAACTCGCTTTGCTGCTATGAAGAGATGTGGAGTGCACATCTTCATGTGTCATATGGGGCCAGGGCACAGGTGCCAGTCCTGTTAGCTATACATGTGTGCGGAGAAAGGGGCTTTGCTGGGGCAGCTGACCTGGGCTTGTCACCACTGGGCTTTGAGAATTTTTGTGAAACTGGGGAACTTTTAACTCTTCTTATTCAGAGGACAATTGTGTTACAAAGGACGAAACTTAGTACAGAAATATGTCGGTGGTTTTCAAACCAAGAATGAAACTGTTCAGTTTGCTTTCGTTTCTCTAGAAACCTGACGTGCGGCTCTCTCGAGGCAGCATCGACAGGGAGGATGGAGGTCCTCAGGGCCCGGTAAGCAGCTGCCCACGTTCTCATCAGGATCTGGACCACTTTGTGTCCTGGGATGTCCAGGCTTACTAGCATTTGTCGTATGGAACACAATAATTCATTCTATAACTAAAATCAGCGTTTTAGCCAAGATTATTAAAACTTACGGTACGCAGCCCAACATGCGTATTTAGGTAGAAAATTTTCTACCCCATTACTAATACACTCTTTTCAATAGTAAGCTGAACTCTCCGTGTCCTAAAGAAATACGTACACAAATTGTTGCTACAGCAAGTTGTCATCTGCTAAATTTTTATACTCTTGTTTTGTGTTTTATGAAAGTTTCCACAGTCACAGAAAACTTGTTCAAGCAAGATTTTTTTCTGCTGGGTGTTGTAGGGGGAAATGCCTGAAATTTTCTTTAAAGACCTAGCTTATTATCATTATTCCAAATATATTTAAAGCCTGCTAGAAATATTCCCTGGTCTTCAGGGGAGAGTAGTTAAAATTGTTATGATTTCCATTAGCAGATATCTGGTTAAAATAAATGCAGATTTCTTTAAAACTTAAAGAAATCCCCAGTAAAAAGGGGGAGACCTGCACTTGCTGGGTAATGGACTTAAGGAGATAAATCTCCATCCACCCCTAATAAGGTTTATGAGTAGAAATAAACCATTTCATTTCTAGACACACATGCATACACGTACATACCTACATACATTAGACTGTGTCGTCATCCAGCTCCGAGATGCATAGTTTTCCCTAGTCTGTGCTCTAAAATCCAGCTCCCCCTAAGATCTGGCCCCTAGAAGATGTGTTCAGTTGCCAGCGTGTGAAGGTGTGGCATTTCCCATAAGATATGCTGGCACAGTGGGCTCTACAGACAGAATATTAGGCATTCCTTAGTCCACAAGTGCAAAATCACGCTGTTCCCCAGTTAACATCTCCACATGCAGTGCTCACTCTTTATATTGGAGAGATGACATGAAAGCATTCCCTCTAAGATCAGGAAGAAGACAAGGATGCTGACTCTCATCACTTTTATTCAACATAGTATGGGAAGTCCTAGCCACAGCAATCAGACAAGAAAAAGGAATCCAAATTGGAAAGGAAGAAGTAAAACTGTCACTGTTTGCAGATGACATGATACTTACATAGAAAATTCTAAAAATGCCACCAGAAAACTACTAGAGCTCATCAGTGAATTCAGTAAAGTTACAGGATACAAAATTAATATACAGAAATCTGTCACATTTCTGTAGATTAAGAATGAACTATTGTTCATTGTTTCCTGTTAAGGAAACAATCCCATTTACCATCACATCAAAAAGAATAAAATACCTAGGATTAAACCTACCTAAAGAAGTAAAAGCCCTGTTCTCGGAAAACTAGAAGACACTGATGAAAGAAATTGAAGAGGACACAAACGGATGGAAAGATATACTGTGTTCTTGGATTGGAAGCAGTAACATTGTTAAAATGACCATACTACCCAAGGCAATCTACAGATTCAGTGCAATCCCTGTCAAAATACTAATAGCATGTTTTATAAAACTAGAACAAATAATTTTAAAATATGTATGAAAACACAAAAGAACCCAAATAGCCACATCAATCTTGAGAAAGAAGAACAGAGCTGAAAGAATCACTCTCCCTGACCTCAGACTATACTACAAAGTTATAGTAATCAAAACAGTAAGGTACTGGCACAAAAACAGACATATAGATCAATGGAACAGAATAGAGAGCCCGGAAATAAACCCACACACTTATGATCAATTAAGGTATGACAGAGGAAGCAAGAATATACAATGGAGAAAAGACAGTCTCTTCAGTAAGTGGTGCTGGGACAACTGGACAGCTACATGTAAAGAATGAAATTAGAACATTCTCCAAGACCATATGCAAAAATAAACTGAAAATGGATTAAAGACTTTAAGATCGGAAACAAAAGGAAACAAAAAAATTTTTAAAGTTTTTAAAGATTTTTTAAGAGACCTAAATATAACACCAGAAACCATAAAACTCTTAGAGGAAAACATAGGCAGAACACTCTTTGACATAAATCATAGCAATATTTTTTTGATCTGTCTCCTAAAGCAAAGGAAATAAAAGCAAATATAAAGAAATGGGACCAATTTAAACTTAAAAGCTTTTGCACAGCAAAGGAGACCACTGACAAAATGAAAGACAACCTACTGAACGGGAGAAAATATTTGCAGGGGATGTGACTGATATGGGGTTAATATACAAAATATATAAACAGCTCATACAACTCAATGTCAGAAAAAAACAAAGCAACCCAATTAAAAAATGGGCAGAAGACCTGAATAGACATTTTTCCAAAGAGGAAATACAGATGGCCAACAGACACATGAAAAGATGCTCAACATGGCTAATCATCAGAGAAATGCAAATCAAAAGCCCAGTGAGATATCACCTCACACTGGTCAGAATGGCCATTATCGAAAAGAACGCAAATAACAAATGTTGGTGAGGATGTGGAGAAAGGGGAACCCTTGTACGCTGGTGGGAATGTAAATTGGTGCAGCCACTGTGGAAAACAGTATGGAGGTCTCAAAAAACTAAAAATAGGACTACCATATGATTTAGCAATCCCACTCCTGGGCATATGTCCGAAAAAAAAACAGAAACATTAATTTGAAAAGATACATGCACTCCAGTGTTCATAGCAGCATTATTTATAATTGCCAAGATATGGAAGCAACCCAAGTTCATCAGCAGATGAATGGATAAAGAAGCTGTGGTGTATATATACAATGGAATACTACTTAGCCATAAAAAATGAAGTTTTGTCATTTGCAGCAACATGGATGGACTTGGAGGGTATTATGCTAAGAGAATAAGTCAGAAAGACAAATATTGTATAGTATCACAAACTAGTGCATATAACGAAAAGACTCAGATATAGAGGACAAACTAGTGGTTAACAGTGGAGAGAGGCAATAATACAAGGGTAGGAGATTAAAAGGTGTAAACTATTTTGTATAAAATCAGCTACAGTGGGAATTCCCTGGCGATGCAGTGGTTAGGACTCGGCGCTTTCCCTGCTAGGGCCCGGGTTCAATCCCTCGTCAGGAAACTAAGATCCCGCAAGTCGCACGGGGCGGCCAAAAAAATCAGCCGCAAGGACGTATTGTAGAACACAGTGAATATAGCCAATATTTTATAATAACTACAAATGGAGCATAACCTTTAAAAATTGTGAATCACTATACTGTACACCTGTAACTTACAGTGTGCATCAAGACTTCTTTTTTTTTGCTGTACGCGGGCCTCTCACTGCTGTGGCCTCTCCCGTTGCGGAGCACAGGCTCCGAACGTGCAGGCTCAGCGGCCATGGCTCACAGGCCCAGCCGCTCAGTGGCATGTGGGGTCTTCCCGGACTGGGGCGCGAACCCGTGTCCCCTGCATCGGCAGGCGGACTCTCAACCACTGCGCCACCAGGGAAGCCCAAGACTTCTTCAATTAATAAAATGATAACATATTGAGCA